GACAGAACCCCAGCAGCACCCCCACCCCATGCCCCAACCCCTGGTTCTGGGCACACGCCACGTTTGGAGCTGACACAAGTGTGCAAATGCCCTTGGGGATGGGGCGCCACGGTACCGACCCATGCCAGCCTCCAGAGCCACCACAGCCCCCTGAGCGCCATCCCGGAGAGTGACAGGAGCCACCAGCACCCGGCATGCAGGAGCTGCCTCCACCTCGGCACCGGCGTGCCGCGCTGCCTGCCCATGGGGACCCTGCAGACCAGGAGACGGAGAGGCGATGTGCCCGCGCCCCTGCCCTCCCCCCTGCCGTGCTCTGTGCCCCGGAGGGACACCCGGCAGCCGTGGGGTGCACCACCACACACTGGTGTCCAGCTCGGCTCGCCGAGTACCAGGCTAGAGAAACGGAGGGTGAACATCTGCCGGGCCAGCTCCCAGCACGTGCTCAGCGGGGCCGCCTGCTCCCCCCTCCCCGGCTCTGCCCCCTTACCTGGTGATGCACCACGCGCGGACCCCTCCTGGACGTGGCAGGGGCGGCTCCTGCCCCTCCTGCCTGGTGTCAGCTCTCGGCTGCTGCTCGGCTGCTTGCTTGGGCTCAAAACCCTCCTGCCTAATCCTCTTGGTGACGGGGCTGTGCGGGGGATTAGCGTTTCTCCTGCTCTACCTTTGGCAGCCATAAGGACAGCTGCTGCTCTGCCACCCCTCATTTGCTCTGCTCAGGATTCATCTTCTGCAAGCAAAGGACTTGTGATTTATTTTTAACTACTACTTTCAGCTTTCCTTAGCATTCAGGTAAAACCCTGTGCAGCTCTCTCTGGCTCCTGGGTCCAAGGCCAGGCACTGGCTCTCCTGGGGATCTTTACTCATGCAGGCTGTTTAGGAAGAAAAATAGAAGTCCTCAGAAATAAAACAGAAGTTTTAGGCACAACTGCCAGAGTCAGACTCCAGCATCCATCTCACGTCACTCTTGTAGGTGATGATGCTTATATTCCCAAAGTGATGCGAGACCCCGCACACTGTCCTCCCCCACCCTACAGTAACACCGCAGGGAAGCTGGTGCTGCAGAGCTGTGGCCCTCAGTGCCTGCTCTGGGACAAGCGAGTGTTCCCTCTGCTGGGGCAGACCTCACCAGGCCCCACGGCCTCTTAATCTCCCCTGTCTCGTGTCAGCCAAAGGGCTGCTGCCCATCAGCAGGACCTGGGCAGGAATAGCTGCGTATCAGCAGAACAGGGTGCCTTTAACTGTGAGCCAAGCGTTTGCCATTTAGCTTTCTGCCCTGATCAATGTGCTGGCTCCCCAGGGCTGCTGCCATCAGACACTGTCCTCATCAGAACAAGCTGTCCCCTTCCTTTAGTGACAAACACTGCCAGAGGCAGGAAAGGTTGCATTTTCCCCTTGTCCCTGCAGCACCCCTAACGTGTATCACAGACAAAGTGGAGCTGATCGACACTTTGCCACAAAAAACACCTGTACACACAGGACTCCAAGCTGTACGAGCTCTTCGCTGTTTCTCTGCAGGTAAATGTTCTGGCCAAAAAGGTACAGCAGCTTTCCTTGAAGTCAAAGAGGTGCAGCAAAGACTTTTACCTTCTGAAGTTCCGGCGCTCTTGCAATCCTTGCTTTGGAACAGCAGCAGTAGTGTGAGAAAAACCGCTTTTGTATCAAGGTCAAGTAATCAAAAGCCATCATCTAAGAATTCTTTTTTCCAGAACTATGGAAAAGCAAGGCCTTGGAGGAGTTTATGCTATTTCCTAGATCTTCCACCCCCCTGTATTTAACCTCTGTAACTTAAAACACAAAAAAGTAGGACAGCTTTGCAGCTCGCCCATTAAGCCGTCACATCCCGACACCCCCCGCAGATAAGCAGCCGCCAGCCCCTGACAGCAGAGTGCCAGCCGCTCGCTCTACTGCGGGATAAGCCAGCTCCCACCGTGAACAAATGCGGAGCTGCCTTGATCCCTGAACCAGACAACAGAACAAGGGAGAACTTCACTCCTATACATTTGCCTTCACACTTAGGTACTGCTCTGCACTGACTGGGTTGCCTGGCAGCAGCTGAAAGCTCCCAAGACACCAGGAAAGCAGAGGTGCAGCAGAACGGACTGAACACGCGGCTGTGACAAGCACCCAGGCACATGCTGGGGGGCTGCAAGTGACACAACTTCTCCCATGGCACTGTCTCCATCGGCAATGTTTAAGCAGACACAAATGCATCACAGCCCGGTAACAAAGGCAATTTACTGCCTTGAGAAAAGCTTATTTCAACATCAGCACTGATATCTTGACCTGGCTACTGTGAAAAGCACCTAACGCTCATCCCTCTGTGTACTCTTCCAGTGGCAATCCAGACTGCTCATCCCTTATCTGCTGGCGTTCTGCCAGTATCAGCAAGAACTGACTCATGTCCAAGTCCTACCTTGAAGCAGGATTAGTTAGAACACAGCTGGAGATTAGTGCCTGGCAATCCTTTCAAGTACTCAATGTTATGTCTACCAGAGGAAAGAAAGGACAAAGGAAACCTCCTAAGGGTCACAAGACAAGGAACAGCTACTATGCAAAAGTGGAAGAAGTCCAGCAAAGTCCCCATCAAGCAGAGAATAAAAAGCACTAGAAGTCAAATTTTGGACTGAAGAAAACATGAGAAGAGAGACAAACATGTAACTTTTATTGTTTATGTACAAATGACAGAAGTTTGTATTAAAAAGAGAATCTGCCCAACCTCAAAGATAGCAAAGAGCAAGATGGCTTTGAGCTCCAGCCTTCCCTGCATCTAAAAGCACTGCGTAAATTTTAGGAGATGGTGTTTAAAATTAAAATTAGAGAAAAGGATTAACCACCTTCTCTGCTTAAGTAAGAACCAAAAATAGCTGTTCCACAAAATGAAGAACCTTCCACTCTACATGGATTAAAACAAAGAAACCAAAAGTCAATTTGCTAACTATACACTTTAGTTTAAAAAAAAAAAAAAACAAACACAACAAACAAAAAAAACCCCCAAAACAAAAAAATAACTACGAAGCTAAGTATCAGCAACAAAAGTAATCTAAGTCTTACAACATGGATGGGACATACTGAATCATACGCCAGTTCCAGTGGAAAAAAGAAATACCTCTCCATGGGTTTGCAGATGACAGGGGTGGCAGCAGCAAGATCAGCCAATTTTAGGAAGTTCCTGACTGAGGTGGAAGCACAGAATAGTCAGGAATTCAGGACTACTACTACTACTACTACTACTACACCTTAGTCTTCCTGCAACTCAGGCGATTTAAAAATGATGCAAAGTACATGGTCCAAGATTTTCTTCCCCCATCTAAGTTCTTTAGAGTGAACCACTCCCATCTGCAGACACTTGGCCAGAGAGCTGCCATCATGCTCATTCAGTCGACTGGCATTTTTCTCAGTGGGGATTCATGTAGTCCTAAATCCCAGAAGCATCAGTACTGATGAGTCTAGTAGTCCTGCAGAGAAAGGAAAGGACAGCCACATTAAGATCATTTACCTTCAATTCTGCTTGCAGAGCTGGGATTCTCAGTCTTCTCTCATTTCTACATACCATTACTTGCAGGTAAAACAGAAAAGATTTTTGTCTTGTAGCTAAACATTCAGAAGAAAGGACCGTTCAAAACCTTAGTTCAAGAACACATCAACTCAAACCAGATGCTTTTAATGTTCCAGATCATGACAAGGTAATAGGATGCAAAACAGCTTTTTTCATAAGAAGTGCCTAGGACCTAACCATGACCTAGCTTCATACAAGCCTACCTGGGCTTATTTACTGTTAAATCCACAAGACAATGCTTATTTCATACCATGATATTCCTCAGCCATGAAAACAAGATCTTAAACTACAGCAGAGGAAGGCTTTTCAAGATTAGGAGTCAGTCAGCCACTCAAGTCTACAGATGAGCAATGAAAACAATGACAGAGCGCTGATACTTACGGCTCTTGGCTTTTTGTTTAACTTGAGATCAATCCTGTGGTTGGAAAGATAAGAGAAATGTCCATTTCAATACATTAAACCAACACTAGAGTTCAAAGAACCAGCTACTGCATAAGGCACAGGCTACAACAAAGACTATTTGGTTAATTCAATCCACAGTCTCAATTCGGCTGAGCCAAATCACTGTCCCAATATTACTGGACAAGAGAGCAGCAAAGAGATGGAGAGTGGATTCTTTATTATTTGCCAAAATGCATATTCCGTCCACTCAAAAAAAGAGTTAATAAAGGTTCACAATAAAATCACAGGGAAGTTATGCAGCATAAAGAAATAAGGTTAAATACGCATGCTCTATGTTAATTTGTTAGATGTGTAACTATGCCACAGGTAATTATTCAGACATAGTGGTAATGGTTATTTTACTTGGAATAGAGATAGGAGTTTAAGATGACAGGGATTATATGAGTCAAAGGTACTGAGTTTATTACGGTTTTCCAGAAGGAAATATCCAAGTCTACACTAATCTCCTTAAGAAGCAAAGCCAGAAGAATTAATTTTTAAACTAAGTTTTTACGTTAAAAAGTTTATCTATTTAAAAATGAAACAGAAAGGTAAGGAAGAGTGAAGTTAATTTAATTTTGCTAAAGTTATTAAATAAAATGTTACCTCCATCACGCTTTTCTGTTTTTAAAAAAAACTTCCCAGCCTAACCTAATATACATACCTACAATTAAACAGATAAACTATGGGTTAGAAAGGTCTCAAAAGGCACATTGGTGTCTACACACTAACAACACAGCACAAGTACTAATTCAAGTCAAACTTACTCAAAGTCATAATCAAACATGCCAGACGGGCTGAGGGGCAGCATTTGAAAGGAAGAAAGCAATAGAAATTAATATACTAATGAATTAAATAAATTAGTTGATTAGCCACCCTAGCGAGATTACTAAAAAATAAAATAAAATAAAATAAATAATAAAGCCAGTGTTCAAATGCCATAAAGTTCTTAAGATATCTTAACCAGAATTGGGCACAAAAAGCACTCCAGATTTGGCAATCCAGAGTCCCCCTCCCCAACTGGATTTCTGGGAAAAAGAGGTGTTAGAACAGAGGCAGAGTGGTTTTATGGAGGGAATTTTAGGTGCTGAAAAAGGAAGCTGTCAGAGACTTGAGAGTGCACACTAGCTCACAGGCAGAGAGAAAAACTGATTTGCTTGCAAAAACAAACAAGCGGGTGGTCAGAGAGCAGTGGCTTTGTCTAGATTATTACGGCAAAGCAAAGCTCGTTCAGGCAGAGGTGGAGACGACACAGAACTAAGCGGCTAACTTTGCATTCGAATCTTCTCATAGCGCACACGCATACACACATCCTCTTGCACTCCTTCCTTTAGAGAGCTAAAAAGAGAACACCGTCATTTGGCCAAAGCTAATTGCAGTTTGGTGACATTCCCACCCCTTGTCTCGGCA